CTCTCTCTACTCCTATCCACAAACCATTCTAAACCTCTGTGTCCCCCCAGGCTTCCCCACAACCCATGCGCCACCACCAATGCTTGTGGCCACTCCTGCGGACCCTGTGGCAGCTCTCAAACACGTTGCTGTTAATTTAGAAGCTTGAATCCTCTTTGAAGAAATCAATGAAGCCACTTAGATCAAGCATAGGAAAGGTCCTTGGATCCTGCCTTTGCTGGAGTTCAGTTGCCATTTAGAAATCTTGTCATACCAACTGATATTTCTAGGCACTGAAATGCATTCCAGACTCAACAAGCAAAGACATGTATCACAAACTTTCAATGTCTGGAAAGCTCCTTTGTGTTGGAGGTTGAGCCTCTTTATTTCTAAAGACGTTCAACTAACTCCCGGTAATCTGAGCTCCGGGTATTACTTTAGGGTGTTTCCTGTATGTATTGTGTTTCCTGCTTTCCTTGCTTCTTCAGTATTCTCTGGAATGCAAGGAGGCTCCTTCATTTACTTCCCAATAAACGTTATTTCTCTGGCATAGTAAATCTGTTTCTCATTCATATTCATGCATTGTAAAGTACTCATCATGGCTATTTCATAAAAATACTCCTTCATTAGGAGGATGAAATGGGTTAAAGGACTGGTCCCAGCACTATGCTCCATAGGTAAACACTGGTGGAGATGAAATGACACCCTTCTATGAGGCCCCCACCAAAGAGAGACCACGCAGAAAACCTGGCCTTCAACACGCATGCCCATTTTGACTTGGTTGCAGGACCCTTGGCAATACTTAGAATCCTCGAAAAACCTCATTGCTATCTCCCACGATCACCCTATCAAACTGGAATTCTCTGCTCCCCTCTCTCCTAAACTTCCTGAAGACCAGTTTTCATCTCTACCTCTCTGTGAAGACTTCTCAAGGAGCAGCAATTCTCTCCTCTCAATCTCTCTGCTGCGCCTGCATGACCAATATAAATACCTCCCTCAAAACACACCTTCATTGATTTCTATAGCCCCACACACTTTGGGTCCTCTTGCTATAGCTTCTGACTACCCTTTCCCTGTCTTCTGATTAGCACAACTTCCCCTTCTGTCACAAGTAGAGGAAATGCCTAGATCCTCAAATCTTTGGTTTGCTCTTTCTATATTCCCATTCATGGAGAACTAGCACCTCTGCTCTGACGACTCTCAAATCTTCAGCTCAAGTACCAGGTTGTTGGTTGCCTGTAGGACAATTTTATTTGGTATTGGTCCTTCATATCATGTTTAAGTGGACTGAAACTTATCTTTGCCAAACCAGTTCATCTTGTTATCCATTTGTTATACCTAACACTTATCCTCTCAAAAGACTCTTAAATACAAGCCGGCCTCTCTCCTTACCGCCTCACCTCTTCAAGTTTATTCTTTTCTCTACGTCTTTGCTCATGTCTATAATGTTTTTCCATAATCTCTTTACCATTTCATTTCTTATAATTCCAAGACAGACTAATTCTCAATAAATCCCTCCAACAAACACTAATTCCACTCTCCCTCCACTTGCCTCATCTATGAATTGTTAAAGGTCTCAGGTCTACAGGCCACAATCTTAATTATCCATTCAATTTAGCTCTATCTGATTGACACAACCACAATCAACAATCTCTTATTGTGTGTGCCAGGTACTGTGTGGGGTATTTAGAACACACAAATAAGTGAACACCAGTTCTGACCCACATCATGTTTATGGTCTAGAAGGGATAAGACAACAAGACAACTGTCATACAGACAAAAATGAGGCTCAAGAAAGGTGTAAATAAAGAATTATGAATTTCAAAGGTGTGAGAGAATACTTCTAGATGAGTGATAAGAAGACTCCAAGAAGGAGGTGGCTCTGGATCAGTGAAAACCCAAATATTTCTGTTCATATCAATTTCATTTGTCTGTTTTGTTGACTGTGCAGGTCCTTCAACAGAGACAAAATCTTTATCTAATTAAAGCTGGATGTAAACTACAGAATACTGAAAGTGGAATAAATAAGAAGTAACAACATTAATGAGGGTTCATGAGAAGGTTGTTAAAACTTTATTTACTTCCCATAGTTCAACTTCAATCAACTATTACTGTACCATATTAGCATAATTCTGAAATAAATTTTGATGGGGGATGGTTGAGTGTGTGTAGGTCTGAGAGGAGTTTTTCCAGGCATGAACTTTGCCTGGTAAGAACATGAGAAATCAGAAGGTTTGTTTAGGGTTCCTCAGCACAATTCCTAGGCTATGTTGTTGTTGTTGTTAGGTGCTGTCAAGTTGATTCTGACTCATAGTGACCCTAAGTACAACAGAATGAAACACTGCTCGGTTCCGCACCGTCCCCACAATTGTTGTTATGCTTGAGCACATTGTTGCAGGCACTGTGTCAATCCATCTCGTTGAAGGTCTTCTTCTTTTTCGCTGACCATCCACTTTACTAAGTATGATGTCCTCCAGGGACTTGTCCCTCCTGATAACATGTCCAAAGTATGTGGGATGAAGTCTCACCACCCTTGCTTCTGAGGAGCATTCTGGCTGTACTTCTTCCAAGACAGATTTGTTTGTTCTTCTGGCAGTCCATGGTATATTCAATATTCTTTGCCAGTACCATAATTCAAATGCATCAATTTTCTTTGGTCTTCCCTATTCATTGTCCAGCTTTCACTTGCATATGAGGTGACTGAAAACACCATGGCTTGGGTCAGGCGCACCTTAGTCCTTAAAGTGACATCTTTGCTTTTTAACACTTTAAAGAGGTCTTTTGCAGCAGATTTGCCCAATGCAATACATTGTTTGATTTCTTGACTGCTGCTTCCATGGGTGTTCCTGCGCTATAGCAGACGACATATGTGGTAGTGAAAGATGAAATTGCAAAGTAGTTAGGTAGAACTATACCCGGCAGTGCTTTGAATGGTTATCTCTGAGATTTGTTTGTAAGAAAGGTTGCTATATGATACATCTGGAAGCTGTATTTGGGATTGGTGGTGATGGGTCCTAGAAGTTGGTGGAACTGGGTATAAAAGAAAGGAGGTCAACTGGGAGACTGGTAAGAGATAATAAGGACTATATGCGCAGAGGTGGCAGAGTAGGTAGGGGAGAGGAGGGGTGGATTTTAGAGGCATGGCCTGGAATGTGAAAGCTGACTGGAGGCAGGAGGACAATGTAGAGAGAAGGAAGGAAACTACCACTGATCTAATACCTGCCATGGTCAAGAGAAGTCTGAAGTTTTTGAGTCTTAGAAAATGAAATAACAGTGGATCTCCAGAGAAGAGAGTTGGAGAAGAATGACTAGATTTGTGAGAGATGTTGGAGAGTTATCTAAACAAAGATGATAGAGCTGTGTGAGTTTTAAGACCATTGAGGGGAAGATGGTAGAGTATAGAAGAACCTTGGGAAACACTGAAAGACATGATGGAGTGGGCCTGGGGCTGTCAAAAGTCCCGGGTATGGGGTTCAGGTCTGGTTTAGCCAGGTTTCCAAGGAGAAAGATGACTTCTGGTTATAAGCAGTTGGAGAGGGAAATGGAAAAGCAGTTAAAGTGTCACAGAAGTCAAAAGAGGTCAGCGTTTTAATGAGGAGGTGGTCAACAGGAAAATTCAGACAAATACATTGGATATAACAATGGGGAGATCACTGGTGATCTTAGAGCAGGGTCTGTGGGATGCTGGGGAAGAAGCCGTATTCCACTGGCTCTTTCATGTCTGCCTCAAGTCACCAACTTCAAAGCAAACTTAATGCAAAAGCTCAACACAACATTTATACTAAACATGAAGCCTTAGCTTTATCCTCTGTGTACTGCTAAAAATGTTTTAGCATCTGCTTTTTCCATTGATCTTCAGAGCAGTCACATAAACAGGTTTTCATTCCTTCTCCAAATGGGTCCTGAATTCAGCTTTCCCAGGAAGACTAGCACTATTAAGTTGTTTCATGTTCTCCTCTTCCATTCTAGACTGTATAGAGGAAAAAAAAAAACATAGCACCAATGGACTTTACATTTTTCTGACTGGGCTAGGTCCCTTAAGACACCCAAACTGCATTCCCACTGGGAGTCCAGGACTGTGTGTAAGAGAAACAATGGCGGCTCTGGAGACGGTTTGTGGAATTAGCCCCTAAATTCCATTTTCAGGTGTCTGTATTTCTCTTTGCTACTGACCTGGCTCATTCTCCAGCTCCTGTCCTGTTTGTCCCTTCAGTTGGAAGCCCTATTTGACCATCTTCTCAGAGCCAAATCCATTGGCTCAGTTCCTGGATTATAAACACAATTTCTCCCCTCGATGTAGGAAGGCTGGGGGATTGAGAAATTGACAGCAGTCACCTTCATGGTACAGACTGTGGAAGCCCTATATATTGTTCTTATAGGCAGCTTGAACTGGGGCTGGCCCAGTTCAGAGGGCTGGTGTTGATATTGGGCAGTTTCTGCCTTTCTAATTCCCCTCTGAGTGACTCTTCGTTCCTCTTTGGCATGAGTCAGTCCTCTTGGGCTCTGTGGGCCCAATGATACTACTCCAGTCCTCTCCTTGCCATTTATACACATTAAAGTCGAATTAATCTGTAAGTGGCCCAATGTATTACTTTGTATTTCCAAAAGAACACATTTTACTTTTCTCATGGTGAGAATTTCAGGCATCAGTACCTGGCCAGCAGGGAAGGTGGTTTGGGGAAGGATGAGGGAGGCATTCTAATGCCTTTAAAGTCCTGCCACTGGGAGGGTGGCATCAACAGAGGACCTGTCCTGACTCCACTCCATGTTTAAGTACCATTGGTGAGTTTGCCTGTGATCTCTCCTGCAGAAATAGCCTTGGCTTCCACAATAAATAGTACCCTTTAAACTCAATTGCAATTTGTGCACGTCTTCAGACCAGAGCCTAACCAAGCATCTGCCACAATTACATAGGGCAGCTGTAAAACCTTTCCGTTTGTTAGGATTTGATTTGCTCATCATGTTTACTGAGGGGTCACTGACCAGAGACAATACTATGGCTTATGTAAAAGTTAGAAGTGGTCACAGTACGTGGAAGTGGAATGAATAAAAAGCAACTGCCTTCCTGAGAATTCCTGGGAAGTGAATTGAATCTTGACTCCTTTCTCAATAGCCCAAGTCCTCTCAAGCATCATTATCTGATGGTCAGGTAGCAG